TGATGTTTGCCATGGGAAGAATTTCAGTTTTATGGAAATGCAGGTCTTTGTTGTATATGCTTTGTGGCTGTACTGTTTGTCTCTATTTTGTGTCTGTGAGGTTCACTGATGTTTCATGAATATGTAGTTCCTGCTCATATTCCATTTTGTGAAATACAGTGAAGTATATTTAACCTCTGTCAGTTTAAAAATCTTTCCCAGTCCTCCTTTATTATAGATAACACTACAACAAACACGCTAGGGGCTTAGTATTTGTATGTTCCTATAAGGTACTGGCTACCAAATTCTACCTGTAGTAGGAACAAGTTGAGAATTGATTCATCCAGTGATGTACAGACCCTCGGTTACTGCTTTAACATCTGAGTACCAAGACAGATAGCACATTTGGTATTCACATTTTAAACCTTTTTACTGCATTCTTTAATTGTGGACATTGTCTAATTTGGACCTCCTGTCTAAGATTACTCACTTTCTGCCCCCAAATTTACTCTGGTATTTTTTCTCTCCAAACTTAAGGGAACAGCTGTATTTGCATATGTATTATGAAAATGGAAGGTATTTGTGCCCAGTTCCTTAGCTTTCATTTTTCACTATTTATTTATTTATTTGGAGATAGAATGTCTTGCACAAAGCATCCTACTATCTATTTTCCTTGGATATTACAGATGTGTGCAGTCACCTTTGGCTTCCTCTTTGCTTTTGGTCCCTCTGCTCAGTTGTGGCCAGATTTCTCTTTTTTGACGACAAGTTGAGACTTTTCAGATTTTCTTTGCCTTGGATGTCTGCTGCATCACTATGATATGTGGTAGGCAGGAATCTTTGAAGTAGATGGCAGTGGTCTTGGCTTTTGTACATGCCCCTTTTCTTCATTCTGGGCTGTAGCTACTGCTCTGCCTCTCATTGGTAGAATATTCCAGAATTCCTGGTTTCTATTTCACACTTGATATATTTTTTTCTTGCCTTTTCCCATACTCTCTACTTTTTGCTTGCTAGTTTGTTTTTGATAAAGGGGTTCTCTGCTGTAAGCATTCCCAGAGGCTAAGCTTAATTTCATTTTGAAGTAAAGTGAGCTCTTGTTTTCTTGGAATCCTGCTGTACAGTGGCTCCCTGAGTAAGTGAGTTACTAGAGATGCTGCTCATTTCTCCTGTAAAGCACATTGGGCAATGGCAGCTACTGTACTTCGACTGCCCAGTTGCATTGGCTTATTTATATCTTCAGCTCTTACTAGCTACATGTAAATTTGTTTGAAGATAATTTCAAAGATGTCTGCTTTCACTGCTCTAGAGGCAGTGGGACCTGGGAGATCGGAGCTGATAACCGAGGTTGAAATCTTATGCAATAACCAACTTTATTCAGAGCATCAGACAGTTTTTATACTCTGAAGATTAAAAACAATCTCCAGAGTAATGTGCATAATCTCAAAGACAAGCAACATATGACAAAAGCATTTTCCATAGAGGCATGTAAATAAATGACACTAACCAGCTATAATGAATAATGTGGAGAAAACTCAGATCCTTTATGCTATTCTTGGGAGGAGAAGCACAGAAATCACATTCCAAGAACAATTCCATGTTTTGAAAAAAACTGAGGTCACAAGACTCCTCTCTTGTTTTCCAGGCATTTTCTCAGAAGCACTCAGAATTGTACTCATCCCACTCCACTCTTGGCCCATGTTCAGTCAATCTGCCATTTATGTTTAATTTCATGATTTTATATGATGCTATATGATATGTTTGATACAATTTTTTCTATGGAAACATAAAATACGTTGAAAACTGTATAGGTGAATAAATTAGTTATGGCGAGTTAGTTCTATGGACCACACGTTAAGACTGAGGAAAAATTTGTTATGGTCTAGAAGGCCTTGTCAGAGGGATTCTCACACTCCTAACAACTGGCACCATGCTAGTTCCTGTCCTTGCACTTACAGTTGGAGAACTTTTCTGTTAAACAACGTGCCCAGTACGTCCCAATCTTCAGTTAAGGGCTATTTTAAGTCACAGCATTAAGCAAAGTTTGTAAGTAAATATGTGTTTGTTTATTGGGCACATAAAAGCTCCTTGAGACTCAAATAATCTGCCAGAAGTTAGTAAGTAAGATTCATTCCTGTTTCTGAAATTACATAACAGAGAAAGAGAATGTCTCTATATTTTATACTGCTGTTTAGACCTGGACATCCTTGCTGGCCTAAAACTTGAGATCATCTTGCCTTGGTCTGCCTAGATCTGGAATTGTATTTGTGTACCCATGCCTGCATTTGGAAACCATTTTAATAAGTAGTTGAATTAATCAAAATGTGCCTTTGTGCTTTTTTTTTTTCTAAGAGCATAAATTTCCAAACTTTAAAACAAGTCTTTTGATGGTGTCATTAAATGACAGTTTCAAAATATGTGGGCTGTTTTCAGTAGGTAAGCCTGGCTCTCAATTTATATGAAACCCTAAGATCAGGGAAGAAGCCAGGCAAGTCAGTGACCTTTGACTCTTAACAGAAGATCTTTATATTGCAATGATACTTTTTCTCCAGTGGCTTTACTCTTGCAGTGCCTTCAGCCCTGGCTCTCCGTAACATCAGAGCTTGTGCTTTAGCGGTTAATTTCTTGTAGAGAGACCATCTATTATTGGAATAGAGTTTGTTCACTCTGGCTCACTGAAGCAGAAGTCCAGATATTTTTCACTATGCAAACATACCATAGGCATTAGGTCCTAGTGTGTGGGATCTTCAGCCTGTCACAAATTTTATTATGCCATCTGCTTCAACCTGAGCAGTGTGCTTCTGCCGGCAGACTTTGCTGAAGTTGCCATGGCTCGGGATAAAAAAAATCAGTCTTGGCAAAGGAAACTTGCTTTTGAAAAATAATAATTGATCATGCCTGCTGTAGATTTTAAAATAAGCATTTGAAAGAATTCCCAGAAGCTTCCTCCCTCTTTTTCATGGATGACTAAAGGTAGCTAATATAATGGTAAATTTTCAGTAACTTTGGTAACTAAATAAGTTTTCTGTTTTATTTTTAAGAATGAGTGACAAACTCTTTTGGGGGCACAGCATGAAATATTTTCATAGAGTTTATCATTGGATGCTCTTTACTTTATCCAAGAATGGTATTTCAAGTGACTGTATTCTGTGTGTCACAAAAAAGTGATAGCAACATGATGAAAAAGTGTCTTTGACACACACTGTTAGTAGGGTCATGATTTTGTGTTATCCAATCATCTGTGAATTGGAGCCGATACAAGTGGAGGAGTTGTGTGGAGAAGTGTTCATTCTGTAAAAACATATTGATGGCCAGCTCTGTGCAAGGCATTCCTCTACAGAACAGAGACCTGAAGTAAACAGAATGGCTGGATCCCTCCACTGCAGATTTATACATTCTGGTTACCTTCACTGGCTGAATGGAGGTGATTTGACAGTGGGTGTGTATCAATGGCTTGAAAGTGCTGTCCTTGATAGCTGGGAAACCAGCATGGGACTGATCCAGACCCCATGGATGTGGGTGTCAGTGAGGAGACCTCGGATATCTATGGGGGCTCTCGTAGCAGAACAGTATTTATCCCTAGCATAGGAATAGACTTTGGGAGCCCATTCCACATAGAGGGATACTCCCTGAGCCTAGACACAAGGGGGGGCCCTAGGCCCTTTTCCAAAGGATATGACAGACTCTGAAGACCCTCTATGGAATGCCTCACCCTCCCTGGGGAGCAGAAAGGGTATGGGAGAGATAGGGTGTTAGTTGGGGTGGGGGAGGCAGAGGAAACTGGGATTGTCATGTAAAATAATCTTGTTTCTAATTTAATTAAAAAATGGAGAGAAAGAAAAAAAAAGAAAGTGCTGTCCTAGTTAGCATGAACTGTCACTCAGTCAGACACAGCCTGGAATCCACTGAAAAAGGAGTCTTTGTTGAGTAGTTTTCATTAAGTTTGCCTGTGGGGATGCCTGTGAGTCAGTTTTTTTTGATTGGCAATTGATGTTGTAGGAGGGCCCAGCCCCCTGAGGAAATACCATTCTGTGGGCTGGTGGTCCTGAGCTCTAGAAGAAAGCTAGCTAAGCAAGACTGTGAGAGAGTGAGCCAGAGAACAAGCTGGCATGTTGCACTCTTCAGGGTTCCTGCATTGGTATTCCTGTCTTGAATTCCTGCCATCTTTCCTTCAGTGATGGACTATGGCCTGGGTGTAAGCCACATTAACTTTTTTCTCTCCAAGTGTGTTTGTTCAGAGTGTTTTATCTATCACAGCAGCTCCGTGGGAAGAGCTCTGAAGAGAAGCAGGACAAGGCCCATCCACAGACCAAGGTGGTGGTTTCTATCTGGGTTAGGCCCTCAGGGAGAGTTTAGGCTGTCAGGGAGAGAGCTTCCCCATGGTAAGGTTGAGTAGGTGTGAATGAAATAAATGAATGTGAGTAATTTTACCTGGCTGGTGGTGTGAGATACAATGAGGAGGTCAGCACAGCTAAAGCTAAGGGGCTAAGGAACAGGGAGGGCAGAGATGTTCTGAACATATCACTAATGAATCTGTCTTACACAATTATAGACAAAAAGTTGCATTCTTGAAACTTTGCAGCAACGTCCAGTTGGGATTGACTGCACTGTGCAGGAAAGAGTGGCTGTCTACATGGCACAGTTAGGGTTGACTGCATACACTACTCAGTTAGGACTGACTGCTTATCCTGCACAGTTAGGATTAGAAATCTACACTATACAGTTAGGATTGACCATCTACATTGCAGTTGGGACTGACAACTCTCTATACTGTGTTCAGTTAGCTTTTCTTGGAGCTATGTAGTAGACATTGTGATGTTCTGTTTTGCAAAATGAAATAATCTTTTGTTTTCTGGTGTTGTTATTCCAGGTAGTTGCCAGTTCAGTCTAATACTTTTGAGAAACATTAACCCAAAATTAAAGAGAAATGTGGCTTCATTTCTCGAGTCTCAGACAAGTGCAGAACTACCACAGTTGACTTAAACACACTAGAATTGTTGCTATTAATCGCTGCACCCTCCTAGGTAAACATTGCTACTTTGGCAACTACAAATGCTGATCCTGCCCACACACCTCAGCTCAGCTCTTCCTCAATTCCCACTCTGCAAAGTGAATCACTTCTACTGTCTCCAAATAATGGGAACCTGGAACCACTTTCTGGATCTGGTGCTCCACCTGTCACGGTTGGGAAGCCTGCCTTTGATGAACTTGATCAGCTCATCAAAAATATGGCCCAGGTAAGAGCATTTCTCCCTGTGACTTAGCACTGGATGTATTGAAGAAGGTGTCCTGAATAATTTGAGGAATGCAGTAGCATTTATAATACCTGAACACTCTTGAGATGAAAAAGAATTTGGGGGATTTGTATAGTTCAGATTTTTCTATTATATTTTATTTTAGTTTTGAAGACGATAATATATTATTTTCCCCTTTACTCCTGCCAAAAACTTTTAAATTCATGGTTTCTCTCTTCTGTTTTTGTTGTTGGTACACACACACACACACACACACACACACACACACACACACAGAGTAGATGACAGCAATGAAATAAAGCAGTAAATTTGGATATTTTTATCTGGCTGGTAATTTGACTGTGTGAGGTGCAATGAGGTCAGCATAGCTGGAGCTAAGGGAGTGAGGGACAGAATTCTAGATGACAAGGCAGAATAATCTGGAAAAAACACTGATGAATCTTTCTAGTATGGAATTATCTATTAAAAGTTGCATTCCTAATAAATGTAGTTAGGATTGACCATCTACACTGATTTCAGTTAGCTTTCACTCTTTAGCGCCCCCATCCCCGTGTGTGTGTGTGTGTGTGTGTGTGTGTGTGAGAGAGAGAGAGAGACAGAGAGACAGAGAGACAGAGAGACAGAGAGACAGAGAGAGACAGAGACAGAGAGAGACAGAGACAGAGACACAGAGAGAGAGACTTCCTAATACATAAATACAACCTGTTCAGTCTGTGTAATATTACTTGCATATTTATGTTTTCAAGGCTGATCATTTGGAAAAGTGATCACATTTTAATTTGGGTATTTTATTCCACATTCCAGAAATACTCTTCTGGAAAAATGAAACATTCTATTCTAGGTGAGGACTGCTAAACTGATCTTTCTCTAGTTCCTTCTTTTTGGTAAACAAAGTAAAGTCCCAGGAAGATGACTGTTAACTATAATAATGTTTCTTGTTTTGATTTTGAAAATTTTAATTTGATTTGATTTTGCTATGTAATTTGGGTTGTAATGCTGGCTTTCATTCCCTGTGTAACCCAGGTTTGCATAAAACTCAGTCTCAAGAGCTAAGATTTTAAAAATGCACCATTGCTGCCAGCTTGTAATTGGCTCTTAATTTTATTTCCTGTTTTGTTTCCTGAACAGGGCCGCCATGTGGAAATATTTGAGCTCCTTAAACCTCCATGTGGAGGCCTTGGGTTTAGTGTTGTTGGACTCAGAAGTGAAAACAGGGGAGAGTTGGGAATATTTGTACAGGAAATTCAAGAGGGCAGTGTGGCTTACAGGTGAGATTGTCACAACAAATTATTTAGTTTTGATGTAACAATCAGAAGGCTTTGATATGGGGGGAAATGAATATAAACAAAAGCCAAAATAATCAGATATTAGCCAGTTTTTAGAAGTCATTAATATTTTGGGGCTCACTAATATTTTGGTGTTATAAAGCAAGTCCATTAAAATGAGTCACAGGGTGGTTAAGATGGTGGAAATGATCTCTGGGCAAGTGTGAGAACCTAGGTTTGGATCCCCATGAAAAAGAAGAAAAAAGCCAGGTGAGGTGGTCTGCATCTCTAACCCAGCACTGTTGTAGCAGAGATAGGCAAATGCCACAGTTTGCTGGTCTGCCACTATAGCCAAGAAGATGAACTTGGGTTTCTCTAAGAGAGTATGTCCCCAAAATGAGTTGCAGAGTGATAAAGGAAGACACTTGATGTCAGCCTGTGGCATTCCTACATAGGTGCACAAGCAGTCACACACATATCTGTATATATCACACATATACACACAAATTAAATGAAGAGCAGTTAAATTTTAGTTAGGAAACAAACTTTTGAATATAATATTTCTTTTTACTGTTATATTTTGGACTCCTTTTGACTAGAAATCACCAGATCTGTCCCATTAAAATTTGAAACATTTTTTATTAATATATTCAGAGCAGGAAGAAATACATGTTTATCTAGCAGACTTTCTTGACCACCAGTTCCCAAATTATGACACAGAGACTTATTAGTTATGAATGCTTTGCCTTATGCTTGTCCTACTAGCTCTTATAACTTAATTTAACATGTTTCTCTTCATCTACATTTTGCCTTAGGCCTTTTTAACCTTTCTCTCATTCTGTATGACCTACTCTATGTCTGGCTGGCTGGTAGTTGTCTGGCTGGCTGGCCTCAGACATCTCCTTCTCTTTCTCCCCCATTCTCTCTTCTCTCTCAATCCTAGATTCCTCCTACTTATTCTCTCTGCCCCACAGCCCTGACTATACTTCTATAGCCTAGCCATTGACTGTTTAGCTTTTTATTAGCCCAATCAGGTGCCTTAGGAAGGCAAAGCAACACATCTTTACATCATTAAACAAATGCAGCATAAACAAATGTAACACAGCTTTGCCTAGTTAAAGTGATATAGCACAACATTTCCCCATTTTTGTCTAAATAAAAAGTAAGGGTTTTAATTTTAAAATTGTAAAATTATGCACAATAAGAATATTTATCAAATAAGAATTACATTTACAATATCCAGTTCATTTGTATTTGGCAAATTCAGAGAAAATACTCCATATTTGTCCTATCTTGGTGAGTCCAAAGTTTTGTACCTAATTTTCCTCCTTTCATGACTAAGGAAAACTGTATCTAGTCTTCAACTCCATCAAAGACCCCAAATGGATATAATATTACCCGAGTAAGTGGGAAGTACAGTGCAAGTTACTTCCAAAACTATAGAAATGACAAAGACATCTGGCTGTCTTGATAGTCACCCAAGGTTTCTCTTCAGTGTTGGGGTATTCATCTTCAGTTTGCTTGAAGGACTGTCCTGCCTTGTCTTGTCAAAGTTAAGGCAGTCACTTTCCTTTGTGTCCTGCATGTCCACTTTGGTTGGTATACTTATTGTCAACAGCTGAGGCAAAGACAGTTTCTTGCCAAAATAGCTAGTTTTGCCACATTGAAAACAAACTCCATATGGAGGTTCTATAATGCCCATCATCCTTTTGTGAAGGAGATTGGTGCTTCTAGGAGTAGGCATGTCTCACTGTCTTGAGATACTTACGTTATTAAATATCTTAAATGTCCTCTACTGTAGTTCTCTGAAGCATTTGAAGATGACTTGCCTAAAATATATCTGTGTTTAACCATGAAAACATGCCCAACATGATTACAAGTTTAATTATTATAGATGACTAACTACTAACCTTGCCTTTTGATTATATATTACATTTTTTTTTTTTTTGGTTTTTGAGACAGGGTTTCCCTGTGGCTTTGGAGGGTGTCCTGGAACTAGCTCTTGTAGACCAGGCTGGTCTCAAACTCACAGAAATATATTACATTTTTACCTGTGCTGTGTAAGCACAATACCCTAAACAAGAGTAGAAACATACATACAGCAACAAAAATAACTTTACATTTGTACCAATATACCAAAATCCATACCAATATAAAATATTTGAGGTTAATAGCTTTCCTTTTATCCTATATTCTTATATTCTGCTAAACAATGGCAAGCATCCATAATTCACCAAATAATTAAATATCATTCACCCCACATCTTGAAGATGTGGGCATTGTTTTCTCTAGACTGATTCTTGTGGTGTGGAGGTAATGACATCTTTAGGGGACCCTGAGAAAATTGAGATATTGGTCAAGTCCTGGAAAAACCAGTTGTAACATTGATTGACCTGTTTCAGAACTGTTCCCATGCAGAGGGATCAGTATATGCATCACCTGCCTTGTTTTTGTTTTTTTTTTCTGTCACCAAAGTTTTTAGGAGGTCTAATCAAACCTAATCTCTACTAACCTTTAAGGAATCCACAGCAGTTTGTTTCCAGTGGAAGCAAAAGCATAACCTCTCCTCCAACACAATATATTTTCTGAATTTCATTTTAAAGTTAAGACATGTCTAAAGTATCTAGGCTGATTTATTTCAGTGTCTCTCAGCTCTTGTTCACTTATCAGCATTCAAAAAACTCAAAGTCAGGGTCCAGATCTTTTTATGGCTTTTTAATATTACTTTACTCTCTGAAGACTTCACTGTTACTTTAAAACTATATCCTTTTCACCTGTGACTGTCTATATCCATTTTCTTTTCTTTTTTAAGCTTACACACATTTTTAAATATGCGGTAACTTGTTTAGAGGTTTTTTCCCCCAATCTGTACCTGTCTTTATTGCATTTCTCTATTATTTCTGGCCATATGAGCCAAACCTTAAATTCACTGAATAGCTTTGCACTGACAGCTGGCTCCTCCCGGCTCAGGTCTGTGGTAGCTAGCTGAGCTTTAGGCCCCTGAGCTTGACTGACAGCTGCATCCAACTGGGTGCTGCCTCTAACCAGGACCTGTATTCAATCGCCCCATCTCTGGGAATTTGGTGCCTGTACTGTGGCAGGTGTTTTTAATTAGCTTTTGGTTTCTACTTAAAGTGCCAGCTACTCAGGTGTCCCCTGTGTTGCAGAGACTCTTAAAGGAACCATATCCTTTCTTTTTTCTTTATTTTTTTCCAGCTTTCTCAGGCCCTATATGGAAATACAGGCCCCATTTTGGACTGATGGATTCCTCCTCCTGCTTATTCCTGATGCTCGACAGTCAGCCATGACTGTCCCTCTATTGCCTAGCTATTGGTTGTTCAGCATTTTACTAGATCAATCAGGTGTCTTAGGCAGGCAAAGCAACACATCTTTACATCATTTAGCAAATGAAGCATAAACAAATGTAACATATCTTTGCTTAAATAAAGTAACATTCCACAACAAGTTTACTTTTAAAATAAAGGGCCATCTGTAAATGAGTGCTTGGGTTAGTCAGCAATTGATGAAAAAGTGGCCGTTGACATTGGTTCAGGATACAGTGAAATTGTTACAAGTACTGGAGCTAAATCACATGCTTTTGAAAGTGGAAGTTATAAAAATATTCACATTCTACAGTAGGATTAAAATGACCTGAACATGTAGGCCACAGGAACTGTCATTTCCTTCAGAATGGTCACATCTTTCATTACTTCATTTCCTTCCTTGATAGAGATGGCAGACTGAAGGAGATGGACCAGATCCTTGCCATCAATGGCCAGTTCCTGGACCAGACCATCACACACCAGCAGGCCATTAGCATCCTGCAGAAGGCCAAAGACACTGTGCAGCTGGTTGTTGCTAGAGGCTCCTTGCCTCAGGTCTCCAGCCCCCGAATTTCCCGGTCTCCATCTGCAGCCAGCACAGTTTCAGCCCACTCGAATCCAGTGAGTAGACAGCAGGCACTACGTTTTCAGCGGTGCTCACTCTCTAATGCCTTGCTATTTCCTCGTATGTCTCAGAGGCTTGCTTGCTTTTGGTTCTTGGGGTTTTTCTTTTAATATATTCCTACTTGGGATATTTACTTCTGAATTATGATTAAGTTTTGAATTTTAAAAATAGCCTTTACTTTGCATGATCCTTTAACACCATTCATACAAAATGGAGTCTCTTAGTAAAATTTACTTTACTTGTAAGTAGATAAAAACCTTTCTTTTGATTTTTTTTGTTTTTCTTTTCCTTCCTTTGCTTCCTTTCCTTTCCTTCCTTTTCCTCTCTACCTCCCTACCCTGTCTCTCTCTCTGCGTGTGTGTGTGTGTGTGTGTGTGTGTGTGTGTGTGTGTGTGTGTCCATGCTTGAAGGTATGTGGCACCATACCTCATGTGATTACAGTTAATGGTCAGTGATGGTGTAGATTTACACAAATTAGCATTCTGCCTCAAGACATCATTAGGCAGAGGACTCTCCTAATCTAGTACAGCTGTTGTGTTGGAACTTCTTTTTAGTGAAGTTTTCCAAATATCTTACAGATATTAGTGCATGTTTCTTTGTGTTAAAAGTAGTCACTAAAATAATATATTGATAACTATAGGAAGGATCATATCATTAGTGATTGTGCTCTTTTGAAAGGGAAGTATACCAAATGAAAAGCTGGACTTGCTTAGCACTCATGATTCTGTATGAAGCCAGTATTTAACACCAACAAACTACTCATCAAAAGTTTTCCCTTTAGATTCACTGGCAGCATGTGGAAACTATAGAGCTGGTAAATGATGGGTCTGGTCTGGGATTTGGCATCATAGGAGGAAAAGCAACAGGTGTGATAGTCAAGACCATTCTGCCTGGAGGAGTGGCTGATCAGGTGAGTTACAGCAATAGGTATTTTTCTGTTCACCCAGAAGTGTGGCTTCATCATTTAGATTTTCTGGGTTTTTTTTTTTTTTTTTTTTTTTTGTTTTTTTAAACACGGGTTTTTTTTTCTTGGTGTGAAGGTAGCAGATCCCCTGGAACTGGAGTTGCAGACAGTTGTGAGCCGCCATGTGGGTGCTGGGAATTGAACTCAGGTCCGCCCGGCTAAAAGAAGGAAATTTTGATCGACTAAGAATCTTTCATTTTATTGAACCGACCTTCAAGTATTGTCTTAGACTTGGAAGAGAATACTTGAAAGTGGATATGGATGTTACTTAAAATATACTTATAGGTAATGCACTAAACACCCTGAAGAACCAGGGACTGATGATTCCATTCTCTGTAGAAACAGCTACCCTTTGTTTGATAATTATATATTTGCAAGCCTAGCATCTGTTTACAAATCACATTATGTAAAAAATACATTATTGTTTAGGTAAAACCAACCCATCTGTCCTTTTAGTGCTGGTTCCCTGGCTCCCTCTTTATATGTGACACACAGTCCGTTTTCTGTTTAGTTTGTTTAGGTTTTGCTATTTATGAAATGTGCCATTTATTGCGTGTGGGAAATTGTTCAATGCATTTATTTCCTGTGTTTAATATTTTTACTGTATAGGGTTATAAAGTTATTGTTTTCTCTCATAGATTTGAACTTAAATTGGGAAGCTGAGTTCATCAGACACCCTCATATTCATGAATGAAAGCCCTAGTTAAATAGTAACTCTTTAAATAGTGATATTAACAGTAACATAACATTTAAGTGTTAGCCAACATCTAGCAATAGCAAATGAACTTCATATGCTTGAGGAAAAAGGGAGAACACCATTTATATATTTTTCTTAGGACACACAAAATAGAAATACATTCAGCTTTAAATCCACTAAAATTAAGTTAAATTAAATGTCCTTAGTTGGACTGGCTATGTGCCTGGTGTCCCTCAGCCATGTGTCATAAATTATTTGCACTGGACAGTGCAGAGCAGCCTGTCATTTCAGAGTTTTTTAGATCTACTCATATCTCTCATATATTTGAATTTTCCTCTCACTAGGATATTATCTGCAGATGCATTCTTGGCATTGGCCAAATAATTTGACATGGTCAAATAGAATCCATAGGAACATTCCAGTACTTTGTGTTTTTCATCACAACCCAATTAATATGATCTGTGTTTGCATAGCAACTTCATACTTCATCTATGCTTAATGACATTTTCTTCTTGTTCTTCAAAACAAAACAAAAAAAATCACACAAAGTCATATTTTTCCTTCTGAATTCTTAAATAGAAATCAAACTAAAAAATCATACTAGCAATTGATTTAACAACCTATCTGTGAGTTTCATTTGCTGTCACAACATTGAATGGTGCTAGAGAGATTCAGAAGACAATTCATAGTACAGTTACACACTTAATTCCATATGACTGGCATGTGCCTTATCAGTGCCATTTTTATTATTGTCTCTAGATCATTTCATATTTTTCTGGTGCAGTTATAATCACAGTACTTTAATGATTTGAACTGTTTTTCATTCAGCATGGGCGATTATGCAGTGGAGACCACATTCTAAAGATTGGGGACACGGACCTGGCAGGAATGAGCAGTGAACAAGTAGCACAGGTTCTCAGGCAGTGTGGAAATAGAGTTAAGCTGGTGATTGCCAGAGGAGCTGTGGAAGAAACTGCAGCACCCTCCTCTTTGGGCATCACCCTCTCCTCATCCCCAGTTTCTACATCAGAGATGCGTGTAAGTAGCTAAAAAGAATGAATGCAAAGGTCTAAGCAAATAGCATGCAGAAGTTAGACTTACTGATGCCTGTATGTAAGTATTAAAAGAAGGAAACAAAAAAACTCGTAAAAGATATTTATGTTTCATTCATTGAGAATGGCTTGCTTTAAAGAGTCTACATGATTATTTCATTTTCCTCTAAGCAGCCTCTTTTTTAAAAAATAAAGATAAATAAAGATAGTATTATAAAGCACATATGAAACTTTAGGGTTCTGTTCTTCTAATGCCTATATCTGAGTCTGTCTTTGTCATAATTAGAAGCCTCTTTTTGAACTGGGTCACCATTCTAATCATGACCTTTCAACAGTTTTTCTTTAGAAGGTTTCTTATTTGTGTAAGGTAGGGTCTGGGAGCTCGGATTGTAGGAGTGAATGAGGTTTAAGGACCTCCTTGTGTCTTTGTTTTAATACATGTGAGCTATGAACTATTACCGGAGTTGTTATGAGCGGTTGTCATTGCAAATAGTTGTTTGAAACAAGAGCAGCTGTGCTTTGGTGTGGTACAGGAACATGATTCATTGTTGTTGTGTCCCACTTTGTCATAAATTTGATATGAAAAACATTGGAAAATTTCAAAATGCTTGGAAGTTAGAAGTTATCTCAGTTGGTTTACAAGCCGTAAGACTATAGTGGATAAATTTTTTAAAGAGTCCATCCAGAAGTGTCTTACATATTTTAGAAACAAATTCTAGCTTTTTCTACCACATACCAGTCCTATATCCATTTCCCATAGATGTAAAATGTTCCTGTTTTTTTTTTTTTTTTTTTTTTTTTTTTTTTTTTTTTTTTTGTGAAATGGCTCTAACCACTGGTTACACATTCTTTGTTTTAAATAATCTAACAGCCTCCATGAGTCCTTTAAAACTTTATTAGAACACTTGAATTTTCCATGATTCTGTTGTTTTTAGGACAAGATTTGGTTGCTATTTTTTACAGAGAGAAAGAAGAAAGCAAGCTTGTTTATGAAAGTGTTTAAATGGCATTCTTTTGTGGAAAACAAAACATTTTATTCAGCAATATATAAATGAATGCAATACCAGAAACTACTTGATGTAATGAAAGCTTAGGGCAGTGTCTATTCTCTGCATACCATCATTTCTGAAGCTTGTGCCCCGTTTAAAACTATTCGATAGTCAAATTGCCACCCTCTAAAATAGCACGCGAATAACTTATTAAAAATAGAAAACACATTTGTTTCAATTGAAGCAGATTTCATCCTGTCATTTTCTTGTAATTATCTAAACTTTAAACTTTTGCTAAGTTTGCACAGATAATTATGTGCAATGAAAAAAAAATGAATCCAACTTCACTTGTAAAATTATACTTCATTTAGGTGGACCATCAGTGAGATAACTGTTTACTTTATAGGAAATCAGAAAATGTTACAGGCCAGCCCCAGCCTTCATGCCTGTTAAAGCCCATTGCCTTGACTTTTCTAGGGTTTACTAGAGAGTCAGCTGGCATCACACCAATGTCTAGGACCAATGGCTTATTGATAACATCATGTGCCAGTTCACTAATGCTTAATTTAGGCAGTCTTTTCCTCTTGTTCTACATACAATTAATAACTGTATTAAGTACATGTTAGAGAAGGCTCAGACTGAGAAAGCCCTTTTTGGCTATCATCTCAGAGCGGGGAGGATGTGCATGTAAAGAGACACATATTCTTTATGAATGTCTTTAATTTACAAAACAAACAAAGGGGTGATGTTAAAAAAAATTCCTTGGTGTCATTCTTTTAAAAATAAGTCACCAGTCTATTTATAACATGGCTGTGTTAGATTCAACTAGAAATTGTAGGTAAGTGTAGGAGTTCTCTGTGGAGGCTGTGGCTCTGTGTTGTACAGTTCATCATCTGCAAACAGGAGCTCTGGAACCACACTGTTGGGATTTGAGTTCCAACTCTCCAGATATTAGCTGTTTGTCCTAGGAACTACTTATATGCTTCCTTTCCTAGGCATATACAATTGTATCTATTTTACTGGTTTACAAATGATGTAGGCAATTGTAAATTGTTAAAAGGAGTAAGAAAAAAGACATGCTAAATGCCTTTTAATGAAACTGCTCAGTAAACGGTAGCTAGTCTTTATTTTCTTGGTAGGTGGTGGTCCAGAAAGTTTAAGTGGAAACACTAAACTGTTTTGATATCAATTCAAAACAGGAATTTTTTGAACTTTAAACACCCCAATTCCCTCAGAAATGATGATGTGCTATGTTTGAAAATACTTTAACAAGAGGTTACTCATTCATACATTTTGTGTATACAGTAAGTTTGTCTGAGAAGGGGAGGTTCAGCTTTCTCCTATATTTCTGAGTGAAATGGTGATGCTCAGTTTATATCGTCAGGATGTAAGGGACCAGTTCTACAGCATAGTTAGTGATATCTTAGGCCAGACTAATCCTGAATTGTATGTTTGAATTTTTAAATTTGACCTTATTTTTTCTTACATTAATTTATCTAAAGATTTATTTATTAATACTACTTTAGGTTGATGCATCTACTCAAAAAAGTGAAGAAAGTGAGATGTTTGATGTGGAACTCACAAAAAATGTCCAAGGATTAGGAATTACCATTGCTGGTTATATTGGAGATAAAAAATTAGGTAAATATTAAATCTTACATATTTTCTACACCTCACAGTTGCCTCTAATACCTGTCTTATGAGATATTCAATCATTGTATGGGTTCTTTTGTTGGAAAAAGTAGTTGTCAGCTTTCTTAGAAATAATTTCGTATAGGTGACTCTGATATGACAGGCTGAACAAATGCTGTTCTTTCTAGTAGATGTCTTTGTTGCTTGTTACTAAATACTTATTCATAATTAGGATTTGATTTGGAAGGAAGAAGATGGCTATTCATTGTTTGTGCATTATCAAGATTGAAAATTACTTATTTCTAATCTTAGAACCTTCAGGAATCTTTGTAAAGAGCATTACAAAATGCAGTGCTGTGGAACATGATGGAAGAATCCAAATTGGAGACCAAATTATTGCAGTAAGTTATACATTTAATAATAGTTTTTGTAATTTTCATGATTAAGAATTATTTTCTCTAGGAATGGAGAGATGGTTTGGTGGTTAAGAACATGTATTGCTCTGCCAGAGAACCTGAGGTTGGTTTGTAGCACTTGTATTGGGATAACTGGAACCATACCTGCAAACATATATGTAAATAAAAATAAAATCTTAAAATGAAGAAATAATTTCTTATGTATCTATGTAGGTACTTGTGTGTGTGGTATGCATGCAATTGTATGTTTGTGTACATGTGTACTCATTTGTCCATGTGTGCCAGAGGCCAGGGGTCAATATTAGATGTCTTTTTCTATAGCATTGGTGCCTGTTTCTTTATTGGGATAATGTTTCTCACTGAATCTGAAGTTCATCAGTTGGCTAGACTAGCTTGCAAGTGAGTTCCCTGGATTTGCCTGTCTTTGCCTCTTCCTTGTTGAGGTTAAAGATTATGCTGCCATGCCTGGGTTTTACATGGGTCTTGGGGACCTGTACTCAGGTCCTCATGTTTGTAACTAAATTTACCCACTGCACTGTGTATGAAACATTTTGATTTTACTTTGTAACGAACTATATTTTCTGACAATAATTTTTGTGTGTTTGTATTTGTGA